GCGGTGGAGGCTTCGTAAGTAATAGCTACAGGTCCGAAGATCTAACTGCTAAATTGTTGGCTATGAATAGAATTTGGCGGGCTGAACTGCTGGGAGTTCGGCCGCAGCAAGCACCTGAGAAAATTCTGAAATTTAACTATATATATATATATATATATATGTTAAGAAATGGACAAGGTCCGACAATTTATTTATTAAAGACATTTTTATTTATGTTTAACGTTGTTATTTTATAGATACAAGTATTTAAGCAAATGCTCTGTTTAAGATAAACAGTATTAAATAACATTTACCGGCCTGAATGTCCGAGAAATTTTCATAGAAAATTTTCGTTCTTTGACAGGATTCGAACCTGCATCCTATACGGAACTGTCATATACGCTGACATGCCTTAACCACTTTGCATTTGCATAAATACTTGTATCTATAAAATAACAACGTTAAACATAAATAAAAAATGTCTTTAATATATATATATATATATATATATATATATATATATATATATATATATATATATATATATATATATATATATATATATATATATATATATATATATATATATATATATATATATATATATATATATATATATATGCCTGATATCTGTCGGGAACCAGAATTTTCGTTAGTAGGTATTTTCGATCTAGACCAGTTGTTATTAATCTCATTGTTTAAGAAAAAAAAAACAGACATATCATATATATATATATATCTACTAGGAAATTCATAAGTATGTTGGACATACGACTCCTAGTTGATCTAGAAGAATGGCATTACATCTCTCTGATCATAGCTTAATAAGGACACATTTAAATCCATCCACACACACACACACACACACACACAAAAAAAAAAAAAAAAAATTTAACTAAAGAGTAAGCGTTTGGTTAGTAAGGTCGTATTACTGCTTGACTGCAGGCCGGTAAATCTTGTTAATACTGTTTATTATAAACAGAGCATTTACTTAAATATTTCAAATAACGTATAAACAATATATATATATAGTTGGCCTGGATATGGACAAATTTAAATGTCCGTATCGCTATATGCCCCAATTTAGTTACTCTAAATTCACTTTAGAAACGACAGGAACTTGTTTCTCAGAACAAAAGTTAAACAATAAAGAAATTCCCAACATAACCAAAAATAATTATACATTTTTTAGGGAGACATCTCTCTCTCTCTCTCTCTCTCTCTCTCTCTCTCTCTCTCTCTCTCTCTCTCTCTCTCTTTTTCTTGCGCGCCTAATATGACGCATGCGCGATTGGATAATTTCCGATGAATTTCAAAGTCGTTATTCCCTTCCATGTGCCTTTATTTCCAACGTGAGGCCACCCTCACCGACAGCAGGCGTTACCTCCTTTGCTGAAGGCGGCAGAAGAAGCAACTACAAGGGAAAATGTCTTCCTCAATAAAGATAAGCTTAGTCTTTTTTAGATACAGCAAAAACAGGAGAAAAAAGAAACGAAAAGGAAACATGTCGGTTGAATTGCATGTGTTCGTTCGTTTCAAAATCGGTCTCTTTCTCAATGGATGTGCGCTATAGAATAGGCTCATATATATATATATATATATATATATATATATATATATATATATATATATATATATATATATATATATATATATATATATATATATATATATATATATATATATATATATATATATATATATATATATATATATATATATATATATATATATATATATTACATATATATATATATATATAAATAAACGTAATCAATTTACAAATACATGAATTATTCACACAAAACTAATGCAAAAGGTTAATGATTTTAAATGGCGAGACATCCATCTCATAAACAATTCAAATAGTACACAAAACCTTAGATCCGATATGAATGAATTGATCCTTGTTCATATAAATTTCTGCCGTATTAGTTGTTATTTTACACAAGCTTTCGTCTGTTCATACAGACATCTTCAGGTATATAATAGATGTTGTTCTTGTTTTTTTTCTCTTAGTAATCATTAAAATCATTAACCTTTTGCATTAGTTTTGTGTGAATAATTCATGTATATATATATATATATATATATATAAAAATAGAGATAAAGAGAAATATGTATAGATAAAAGTTTAACAAAGTAGCTGGTTCAGCATAGTAAAAAACATCTACGAAGGGAGTCTTGAAAAGTTCTCGGCCTGAAAAAGATAAGATATTACCAAATAAAAAAAGATTCTGGTGTTAATTCAGATTTGGGAAAGTTGCTCGGACCCAGAAATTATCAGTTCCCACATATGTTCAGCCGGGACCACAATGGTGCAGGAAGATTGTCTAGAATTTTCTTCTAATCACATTTTTTTCCAGTTGCCAAAATAGAACATTTTGGTTATTCTATCTGAACGAACACATTCGCTTTTTATTTGTTTTCGGATTAGCTACCGATTCCCAGACTTAGATAAAAGTTATAAACCTAAATAGAAGCAGTTGATTGGTCAATTGTCCGATCTAAATGAACACGTGATATGTCCTGTACATGGTCAACCAAAATCAAAATGGATCTTTTTACCTTCGAGAAACTATTTCTTTTGGATCTCTCTAAGTTGGTTGCTAATTGTTTGTGATGTACATTATCATTGGTCAGATGTTGTGTGGACATATGTAAGTATTTACCGTGAGCGCAAATGCCTCCTTGGAACTTGTCCATCGTCCTCAAGAAGGAGAAATATTGTCTTGTGTGGATGCACCTCCACCCTGGAGCTTGAGCTAATATTAATATCAAAATACTCTCTGCTCTTGACAGGAATTATGCAAGAATATGTATGAGGCACCAGGAGTCTTTAGACTGTTTTTACTATAGACAATTATAACTGTCCAAGATTATTGTAATTTTAGTATATTATTACTATATATCTACTAATCTGTCCTGCCAACTTTTGTTATTCCAGATTAAAGGAGACGGCTACAACAGCTCTTTGAACACACCCTAGTAAACACGGTTTGTCACACCTGACTAGTTTGCAGAATGCAGTCAGGATGTGAAGACAATTTGAAAGCTTGCTATACAATCAAGTTTTGTGTTAAGCTGAGCAAACACTACAGAAACTTCTTCAGACTGCTTATGGATCAACTTGTATGAATTGAGCATCTATTTTTCACTAGCATAAGAGTTTCAAAGATAGTAGAGAGATGAAGGGAGATGGAAGTCAAAACATCAAAGTTGGGTGAGAAAATTCCCAATTTTCTGGATGAAGACCATCCTGTGTCTATAAAGACAATAAGGGTTTGGAGTTGATGTGGCAATTGTACACAGAACCATTCATGAAGATCTGACCATGCACAAAATTTGTGCAAAGTTTGTTCCCAGAGTGATCAGTGATGTACAGAAGGAAAGACACATTAGTGATAGCAGGGAGATGGTTAACGGGTATCAAAACTCTCCCTCACCCTCCCTACTGTACAGACATTGTACCCTTTTAGTTGTTTCCCAAGCTGAAGGAGAACCTCAGGGACAATTGTTTTATTGTTTTTTTTGGGGGGGTTAAGCATTAAACCCCAAGCAAGGCGGGAAGCCACTAGCACGCAAACGATTACAGAGTTGGAGTGAGAACAAAGAGGAGTAATAGAAAACAGGATGAAGAGACGGTTAGGGCATCTGAAGATATCGATTGACGTTACATTTGAATAGTTGGAGATTATAGCTATCAGGAAAACAAGAAATCGGGAGGGAGTTCCACAGGCGAGAAGTGCGAGACATGAAGCTATTGGAGTAGAAGAGACAGCTACATTTAACAGTTTCGACAGTGAAAGGGTGTGAGCGAGATGCCAGCCTAGTTGAGCGCTTAAATTCATGAAGTCTGGGAAACAGCGAAAGCAGCTCATCGGAGCAGTTACCGTGAAATTATTTGTAAAAAAGACAGAGGGAGGCGACGGCACGTCTGTGAGAGGGCAACTGCAGACGAGATGCCAGATCAAGGCACATGCATATCCGTCTCTGGATTTTATCAAAGGAGGCAACGGCACGTCTGTGGGAGGGCGACTACAGACGAGATGCCAGATCAGGGCCAATTATATTACATATCCGTCTTTGGATTTTATCAAGGACCTTGAGACAGTTAGAAGGACTCCAGACCATATATGGCAGCAATATTCCATGCAAGGGCGAATATTTGATTTGTAGATTTGAAGGATCGATTCCGGGGAGAAAAATTTCCTGGCGCAGCACAGGCAGACAACTTTCCTCGCGGTGGACGAAGCTATTGACTCAATGTATTCGTTCCATCTCAGGTCAGCAGACAATGTGAGACCGAGTAGTCGCAAAGAGGTGCTCTCGTGGAGTTGAGCGTCAGACATTCTAATGGAGGGCAGGGATGGTTGTCTCTGGTGAGTAATAGAGAGCAGTTTTGTTTTTGAGGCATTAAAGTTAACCAGCCAATTCCTGCCCAAGTCCACAACCGATTGGAGGTCCTTTTCAAGACAAACGGCCAGGTTAGTTTTGTCGGCGACACTAGATTTGTTTTTGAGGCAGGAGTAAATAGTAGTGTCGTCCGCCTAGATGCCTACTTGGGAATCTATGATTTTTTGAAGACATTCAGAAGATGAAGGAGGCTGTGACAAGGGTCCTGGACACGCTTACTTTGGAACGTTAAGCAACGTCGATCCAGGTCTGTACCTAGATGGGTGACCGCTTGGGAATATCAGGTGCTGTAAGTTTTGATGTGTGGGTGCTATGGCGTACAGCGACGTCACGTTTAAATACCGATTCCCGTACAATCACCGAAGTTAAGGAAGGTCGAACCTGGTCAGTACCTAGATGGGTGATCGCTTCGAAATACCAGCTGCTGTAAGCTTTGATGTGTGGGTGCTATGGCGTACAGCGACGTCACGTTGAAACACTTGTTCTCGTACGATCACCGAAGTTAAGCAACGTCGAGCCTGGTCTGTACCTAGATGGGTGACCGCTTGGGAATACCAGGTGCTGTAAGCGTGGATGTGCGGGTGCTATGGCGTACATTAACGTCACGTTGAAACACCGGTTCCCGTACGATCACCGAAGTTAAGCAACGTCGAACCTGGTCCGTACCTAGATTGGTGACCGCTTCGAAACACTGGCTGCTGTAAGCTTTGACGTGTGGGTGCTATGGCGTACAGCGACGTCACGTTGAAACACTTGTTCTCGTACGATCACTAAAGTTAAGCAACGTCGAGCCTGGTCAGTAGCTAGATGGGTGCCTGCTTAGGAATAGCAGCTGCTGTAAGTTTGAATGTGTGGGTGCAATGGCGTACAGCGACGTCACGTTGAAACACCGGTTCCGTACGATCACCGAAGTTAAGCAACGTCGAGCCAGATCAATACCTCGGTGGGTAACCGCTTGGGCATACCAGGTGCTGTAAGCTTGGATGTACGGATGGTGTAATGGCTGACAACTTGGAATTTTTTAATCGGTGAGCCGAGTTTCAATTCCCGTTGTGTTCGTTATATTTACTTACGCACAAATACCTTTGAGAAGGGCATGGATCCACCTTTTCCTGCTATGGGTTAATTAGTAAGATCTGTATCACTAAGCCATCATTATCAGACCTTCTAAAAAATTCTTCCTGGCTTTAAATAACCTGCAAAGCTTTGATAAGCCGTAGCAAACGAATCAATCAATCAATCAAATATTTATTAGCTACCCAAGCAAGTCTTTTAGAGATATTTTCATTCTCTGGAATATAAATGTATAGGAACTACCGTGGACAGAAAGTGAGGGATCGGCTTATATACTGATTGATTGTAATATAGAATTGTTCCTCCATCTTTATATAAACATAATAATTTGTTGTTTGTTTATCAAATTTAGGTATGAATGCAACTCTTCTCCCCCCAGATATGGGTTAATTAGTAAGACTTGTATCTCTGAAATCATTATTATCTCACCCCCCCCCCACCCCCCTGCCTCCAAATTCTTACAATCTAAAATTATTTTCTCGTGTTAAATAACCTATAATGGGTTAATAAATGGTAGCATATATATATATATATATATATTCTACACTTTCTCTTATAAATGTCTAACAACGAATTTCATTCAATGACATTTGCCAGTTCTAAACCTCTAGTACCTTTTCTGTAACAACTGAGCGAACTCCCGCCTCCAGCAAAACGACTTATGACTTCAAACTGAGCTCTTTTCATGAATACTTATATCCTGTGCCCTGACCTCACCGTTTGTGATACTATTGCCTCAGCATTAAAAAAATAAGAGAGAGAGAGAAAGAGAGAGAAAGAGAGAGAGAAAGAAAGAGAGAGAGGACCATGAGGCATGAGCGCATAGCAATTGCCATCTCCTTGGTTGCCCACCCCAACCCGACCGGAGAAAGTCCACCTCATCCCATAATTACAGTCGATTTATTACTTATTTCTACTGCTATTCATGTTACTTGCAGCTGCCGCCCAGGCTGCGACGGGGCTACGACCACGAAGACGTTTCGTTGGGCGGCTGAACGGTGTTATTATCACGCATACGACAAGCACTTTACGACATTTGCCGTCACGGTTGAGTAAGAACTCCGCGGTAGTTGCTCTAATATTCATACCACTACGACTACTACTAATATTGTAACTGCTACTAATAATCCAACGTTCTATGGGAGCATATGTTTAGGGCATATAGTGGATCTTTCCAGTATGCCCACGTTGCTACCGAATATGACACAAGGTCAATGTTTAATGTGGGTTTAACGGCAATACCATGGAAAAATTGCCTGGACACTTCCTTTGGGGGGGGGGGGCAGACCTCAAGCGGCAGCTAATGACACCAGTCCCTTCCTGAAGGAGAGGTGCTGTCTAGGGAGAACGCATCTTGAGGCTTAAGGTTAATATTATCTTGAAACTACACTGCCGACGCCAGATAAGTAAAATTTTAGAAAATGAAGGTTTTATCTCACAGATTATAAAAAAAAAATTCATTTCAGATCAGTGGTTCTATATATTTACCTCGGTCTGGTATAAGGATAAATAAAATTTTCACTTTCGAAAAACTATGAAAAAACAAGGACCTTGAAGTGGAAATCTCAAAAATGTGGCACATGAGGACATCAATAATTCCAGTAGTAGTTGGAGCACTCGGATTGATTGGAAAAGGTTCCGATGGACTCATTGAAGGGATTCCTGGTAGTCAATGCCTTAAAGAAATACAAAAAATAATAATATAAAATTGTAATGTATCTTTGAAGATCATCAAAATCTATCAAAACACTAGGATCTTGAAATGGAAATCTCAAAAATGTGGCACCTGAGGACATCAATAACTCCAGTAGTAGTTGGAGCACTTGGATTGATTGTAAAAGATTCTGATAAACTCATTGAAGGGATGCTTCGTATTCTATGCCTTAAGGAAATACAAAAAATTGTACTCACAAGTCCAGCTCACAAATTACAAATTTATCTCTGTAAAATATGTGTGATTTTAGTTTTTTTTTTTTTTTTTGTTTTGTTTTTTTTTACAAAAATGATCAGTGGAAAATGTCATGAAGTCATTTCTGATCTTAGGTTTCTTGTTGGGAGTCGGAAGAAGATGTATATACAACAGAAATCAAAGGAAATACTACTACTATACTACTACTACTACTACTAATAATAATAATAATATATGTGACCTTAGGTACTTTTTTCTTTCTTTCAAAAAATGCTCACTGGAAAATGTTATGATGCTATTTGTAATTTTAGGTCTCTGGTTGGGACCCGGAAAAGAATGCTAATCAAATAATAATAATTAATAATAATAATAATAATAATAAAAGTCTGAAACTGAAGGCTTTATTCTTGAGAGACCAGAATCTTTTCACTAGGAATTTTCAGGCAAATATCATACATAATAATGTGGATCCAAAATGCAGGTTCTCTGACAAATACCAAAAAACAATAGACCATCTAATCTCAGGATGTTCTTAATCAATAATATAAAAATCGTCAATAATAATAATTTGGAAAATGTGTAAGCAAACACTGGTATGAACATCGGCCAGCGCCGATTACATAAGATGTCACCATTCTGTGGGAATACCATCCAAAGACAGAAAAATTAAAGTCAAATAGGCCGGACATTTGTTGTCAAAAACCAGAAAAAAAAAAACTTCCTACTAATTGATGTAAGAAGGAAACTAAAGAATTTGAAAAACTATCAAAATACAAGGACCTAATATTGAAATAGAAAAATATGGAAATTGAAAACAAGAATAATTACCAGTGGTAATAGGTGCAAGGAATTATAAAAAATGGAACAAAACAACACCCTGACCCCAGCAAGAGACATACAGAAAATTGATAGGACCTAAGGAGAACTTTGTCTATGTAACAATTCTAAAAAAAAAAAAAAAAAAAAAAAAAATGAACATGTGGGACTACACCATAATACAATCGAATGATGATGATAATAATAATAATAATAATAATGCAACTTCTTCTGGAAGAACAAATCTGCAACTTCTACGGGAAGGAAACTGAAAGAAACTGGTATGAACACCACCCAGACCCAGCTACGGAGATATTCAATTCTATGGGACTAAAGACCTGACAAACAATCAACCAACCGGCCAGATATTCTTAAAAAGACCTCAAACAAAAACGATGCCTCCTTATTGATATGGCAGTCCCTGCTGACTGCAATGTATCGTTGAAGATATTCAAAAAGCTGTCAAAATACGAGGACCTTGAAATAGAAATCTCGAAAATGTGGCATATGGGAACATCAACAATCCCTGTTGTAGTTGGAGCCCTAGGACTGGTTGGAAAAGATTGCAGTAGACTAATTGAAGGGACTCCTGGAAGTCCATGCCTCAAGGAGATACAAAAAATTGTTCTGACAAGTACAGCCGACACCTTACGAAGGGCTTCATCTATGTAATTTAATTTTTTTTTTTTTTTTTTTTGTCAGTGGAAAATGTCATGACGCCATTCCTAACCTTAGGTCCCTGGGCGGGACCCGAAAAGAAATGTGTAAACGCCAGAAATCAAAGAAAATAATAATAATAATAATAATAATGATTATGGTTATGATAAAGAATGGTACTGAAAATGATGCGAGTAAAATTCCTGGACACATCAGCATCCCAGTCTACAAAAGATAACACCCTCAAAAATCTCCAATCTCCATCAAGGCCTCCAAAATGTGCATAGATAACCCCTCCTGCAGTGATCTTTTTACTCATAGACCTCAGAGGGGATTTGGTAATTAGGCACTTAAAATTACTTCCTGGGAAGATAATAATAATAATAATAATAATAATCAACAATTCGCCTTCAAAGATACCTGGAAACAACAGAAGACTGGATGATGTTATGTGTCAAAGAACATGAAAGAAGAAACGTTAGTCAGTCATAAAAGAAGCCAATAAGTTCAAAATGGAGTTTCAAATGGGCGGGAAAATGCAAATAAAGCATAATACACCGTCTCCAGCTGCAAAATACTATTTATAAGGAAATAAATATGAAAACATTTTTATTCATAGATTTACTGAATTATTAAAATATGTGAACCAACAATAAAGAAATCCTTATTATTTACCATTTTATAAAGTTCGAATCAATTCGCAATTAGCTGATGATTTGCCAACTGTTTCAGTAAATAAAATCTGATAAATAAGTAGTGTTTATTACTTTTGTTGTACATTCTCAATAACAATAAAAATGAATAAATTCATTTTTATATGTTTAAGTTTTATTTCAATTCTCATCATCCCTTTTTTAAAACAGTAAACATTGCCAGAGGCAGTGTGGAGTAATGGATAGCGGAGAGCCGAGTTCGAATTCCAGCTGAATCCACTACTTACACTTATGTGCTAATACCCAAGGGTAAGGTATGAATCCTTTTCTTCTCTCCCCAGCGATGGGAAAATACCAGGACAGCATGCATTCTATAGCCTTAGATGGCAACTGGTCTACCGCAGAAAGAAATGGCAACCTACTGCGGTGAAAAGTCTGCCTCGTCAGTCATATATCGAAAGATACATGATCGTCTAAGCGTGTATCACGCATGGCACATAACTGAAGCATTGCCGAAGAGTGACGACAGTTAAAAAAAAAGAAAAAGAAAAAAAGCGGTGTCAATGGGAAAACCGTCCTTTTGACACTCGTTTTTA